CAGTCCCTGTGCTTTGCCAAGCTTGTTTCAAGTAGGTGCTTTAGACCACTGAGCCATCTCTCCAGCCCCAAATTTAATCTTATAAAGCAAAATAAAAACTGAAATCTGCTTTGGGTAGTCCAAATTAGAACTAAAATAACAAGAAACAAATAATTAACTTACTGCTTGCGTTCCTGAAGGGAAGCCATCTTTCTCTGAAATAAAACAGAAAAGAATGTTAATCATAAAAGAAAATTTTATATAACAAAAAGAAACAAAAATAAAAGCAGAGAAACAAAAAGTAGAACAAGCCCATTTCTGGGGGAGGGGGTCAGTACCAAGGACTGAATCAAGCGTCCTGTGCATGATGGGCAGGTGCTTTACCCCCACAACTCTGTACAAATTTTATGTCATTTTGACTTGAGTAAATGCTGAGTAAAATGATAACACCAGTATTTAAAAATTTATACAAGTCCAAGTTAATGACTCTCAAATCTTACTGAAACCCCTTAAGTTTACTAAAAAATCACTGAATTATATACTCATAATAGGCAAAATTTGTACTTGTATATGATACAAGTGCTCATTTTGTACATCTAAAATGTACCAAAAAACTTAATTTAAAAAAAAAGGTATTTTCTCCAGAGAATTATCTACTAAGCTACCTATTCAACAATAACTGTGCAAAGTAAAATTCTCATTTTTATTTATTTTATGCATTCATTTTTTTTTTAATGGCCAACTCAGCCCACCCTCAGAGCATGGCTGGTGCAGCATGTGGTGCCGGGAATCAAACCGTGGTCCCTGCACACTTGCCTAAACAGGCCTAACAAGGCCCTTTAGACCTCTGAGCTATCTCGCCAGCCCATAGTTTTTTGAAACAGGGTCTTACTATGTTCCAGGCAGGCCTAAAATTTGCTATGTGCCCACATAGGCTGACCTCAAACTCACTATCTTCCTGCCTCAGTTTCCCAGGTGCTCTGTTCACAGGCATGTGTCACTATGCCAGGTAAAACAAAATTTTGTCATCTCAGTTTTTAATTTTCAAATGGTAGAAGCTTTAGTATATTTATACTGGATGGAATAAGCCTATCATTTTTCTGGTCAAATTTTGCTTCTTTTAGGGCCAGGGAGATGGCTCAGTGGAATTAAGTGCTTGTCTGGCAGGCACAGGGGCCTGAGTTCAATCCCTGGTTCC